GCCAATCAGTGCTTTATTTATATAGAGTGATATCCACAGCAGTTAAATACTTGGCTTTCTGCTGTAACTCATGTGTCCAGTGAAATATCCCTAGTATTTCAGAGGCAATAACTCCCAAAAGCTGAACCCTTGAAGTTATTTGCACAACTTGCAGGTAGCTCAATAGGTTGGAAAGTATACTCTCTTCAGTAATCTTTACTGCCTATTATTAATCTTTGGGGAAAGAAAAGGCTTTGTGGATCTGGTAAGTTTTAGGGACTTTCTGAGTCTTTTGAGTTGTCTCATTAAGTCTTAGCAAAATTTTATTTAGAATTTTTCAAATTTAAAGGAGTTTCCCTCAGGGATGGAATGTTTGAATTAAGAGGAAATTACTACAGGGACTTGGAAACTTAACTCAGTGACAGAATGCTTGTCTAGCAAGATCTAGCTAGACCCTGGGGTCAGTCACTAGCATCAGAAACAAACAAACAAGGCAAATTGTTACACAGAAGCAAAGTAAGTATTCCTGGGAATTAAGTAGAGGAGTCTGGTTTTATTCAAAGAAAAGAACCAAAGAAAACCCCAAAACAGAAAGAGAAGATAAACTATCCATTTTAAAGTTAGTTTCTTTCCAAGGTAGGACAGGGAGACAAATTTTTTTGTATCAGGTTTCTGTTGGTTACCTGTTCTGTGAAGGAACTAAGGCATTGGGAATGTTATTGTGCCAATTAAAAGTGACTTGTTTGGAAATCAGACTGATGCTGGCTTTTAAGGTTAGGTAAGAAATTGGTTTCACCTGAATGATATAAAATATGAATGTGATTTCATTTTTGTTGCTCTCCTGATTTATTGGAAACTTAGTGTGGGAGTTTTATCCTAATCAATGTCTTCTTATTTAACATTTTTCTCATGGTGTTTGTCAAAGAAAAGCCATACATGATTTCCCTTTACCTTGCTTTCAAAGTGTTTCTAAGAGGGAAAATATATCCAAATTTAAAGTAACAAAATTGTTAACAACTTCAAAATATTGTTTTTTCTATACATACTTTACTTCATTGCTCTCTCTCTCTCTCTCTCTCTCTCTCTCTCTCTCCCCCCCCCCCCCCCCAGTGTGTGTGTGTGTGTGTGTGTGTATGTGTGTGTGTGTGTACTCGAATGCATATATGTGAGTGTATATATATCCTCAGATGGAACCCATGGCCTTCCCTGCAGTAGACAAGCTCTCTATCACTGTGCCATGCTTCCAGCTTTATTGTAATTTTCGTTATTCTTCTTTATATTGTATCATAAGTAACTTCAAACTGTCTCCAGAAGATGACATGGCTTAAAATCATGAAATAGTTAAAATAACAGTGAAGTGTAGCAAAAGCCAAATTACTTTTCATTACTAAATATAAGCAGAAATAGATGTCTTATTCTGGTCATTGTTGAATCGTCTGGTCACTTGAAAATATAGTCTTTACCATAAGATTATTCAAAAGAAGTAATAATAGGGTGGTGACAGTTATTATGTACACATGTTGATGGCTCTAGAATGAACAGGAAGAGAAAGAGAGTGATCAGCCATATTTATTCAAAATTTTTCAATTTTGAATGTAAAGAAAAACTACTAATAAAATATTTTGTATAGAGCCAGCAATTCCACAACACATGGGACATGGGGTAACTTTCCCTTATAATTAATGTCATACTATCAAGATGCTAGAAATAGATGTGCTGGAGAATATTATTAGGATCATTATTAAGTCTACTTCCCCTAGATACATAAAAATCACCAAGGGTTAGATGCATGCATTTGATCTTTTAAAAGAGTAATATGAACATATTTCCTTTATGAAACTGTGGTTGACCATGAGAGGAGCAATGATTCTCAGGTGATCTGCCTCAGCTGTCCCAGACCCTCTTCCATGCTCTGGCCGTCTTTATGGGCCATAGAAATTTGTAACTAGAAAAATTCCCTGGGGCTTTGCCTAATTACAGTTCTGACATCAAATGCACAATAGCATTTGCATCTGCTTAATAAAGGAGAGGGAAGAGGATATGACAGTCCAAGTGGACTCTCTTACCAGACAGTAAGCAGCTGGGGGACTTGCTCTTCTCAGCTTGCAAAAACTTTGATATTATATTGGGATTGGAGAGACAAAGAAGGAAATTGGTTATGAACCTGGGTCTCCCATATTTGATTTTTGGGGAATGTCTCATAAACAGTGCCTCCAAATGTAATTCTGAACAAAAAAATTTATTCTTATTTGTGAGACTTTGGGTTAGTTCTATTTGGATATCAGTTTCCATGTTGATATAATGAAGGAAACCCACAATAGATTTCTCATCTCATGGCTAAGAAGGCTGTGGGAAATAATGTAAGTTGCAGATTTCAAAGTGCCGATGCACTTTCTGAACAAAGTCTTTAATGGTTCAGCTCACTTGAAACTCCCAGGAGTGGCTGTTTAAACATTTCTGAAATTAAAAAGTATCAGTGAATAGTAATGGCTCCATAACTATTTCCTTGCCAGGCTTCAATAGAAGAAGGCAGTGCTTATATTGAGTTGCCAAAAACAAGTGGGAAACACTCATCTCAGATGAAGCAACTCCAATTTCGACATTTATCAAAGAAAATCACAAGTGGTCCCCTAAGGGTAGAGCCTCCCAAGTCTTAAGCTTTCAGGAAGCTTCTAAAAAACTGTGCTCTGAATAATTTTAGGTCATGATGCTTCCTCATTAATTCAAAGAAGGCTCTTAGGACAGGAAAGGGAACAAGGAGAGGCAACTTGAAAGAGTTTCATTTAACTTAAACCATTTATCTCTCAGAGAATATTGAAATTGTGTAGAACAATATTGTGTTCAGAGGTAGACTTGAACCCATGAGGTCAATTAGGTAAACTTTCTTTTGAAAATAAACTAAAAATTAGTTCAGTTGGCATTGCTGTGAGGTTAAGAATAAATTATTCTTAAGTGCCTTTAGTTATACTCACAGTAAACATTTCTGTTAGTGTTTCAAGACTTTAATTCTAGCATCCCTCCTGGGTGTACCTGGGTATACACATTTGCATCCTAAATAAATGGGTCTTGTCTTTGGACAGGGCTCAGCAGTAGGTTAGGATGGCATTCAGGAAAGTGCTCTGGTGAATTCCATATGTAGTAGTCAAAGAAGGGATAATGGTGTGGGGATAAATAATCACTCAAAGTAATGAGAGATTATTGACAAAGAATTGGTTCAAGAGTGAGTGTGCCCTTGAAAATGAGGGAGAATTGCCAAGAATAAGCTGAGATTGGTTTAGACCAGCATGTCTGGGGTAGATATGCTTGTGGGGTCAGAACTTACCCATGCCAGAAATATTCAGAAAGCAAATATGTATTATGTGACAGACCAACATTTCCCAGAAAGTGGTAGTTTTAATAAATATGTAATGCTTAAGCAAAAATAAATGTCTGGGTTTCTATATAAAAGCTCTCCATTAATCTCTTCCAATTCTTGGTTTTCATCTGACAACTATTGTGTTTTCTTACCATTTTTATTTATCTTAAAATGTTTTCCCCCATTAATTGTTTTCTTGCCATATTGTTTTCTTTCTTTTTCTCTCCTATTTTCTACATCAAGTTTTTTAATAAGTGGTTTTCACAATAAATACTTACAAATGACAGAGAATCAATCATATGGTCAAGACAGATACCATAGAATAGGGTTTTATTTCAGAAGCAATAGTTAAAAAGAATCATACCGCAGTACAGAGAAACAACTAGGATAGAGCTGATGATATTTACTTTCATAGAATATTTCAAAATATATTTCATATGTAGGAGAAGACACATGTTGTTACATGTGAAGTAAGCTTATCATGTCCATTTACTATGTCTAGACATGTAGATGGAGATTGTTTTCCTGGCCCCTTGACTTCAGACCTGATCGCCCTTAAAATGATCAAGGATGTCTTTTAATACCCACTACTTCTTCACCAATTGTATAACAAGTAAAGAAATCCAGATAGCAGATACAAGTTGCCTCTGACCAAAGGAAAACACAGGCTCCTCCTTGAATAGCTATGATAATATATGAGTTCATCAGTTAAACACTCATTTCCAATAACCTCACTCCAAGCCCACTTACCCTAGAATTTAGTGGACTTATTATCCCACTGACCACTGTGTTTCTAAAGGGAACTCTATTATAATTATGCCTGTGAGTAGACCAAAGTAAGACCAGCATTATATATTTTCTCTTACAGCTTTATGAACCTTGTGATAGATATTTTCCTCAGTGTTGGTTAGGAAATAATTTCCCTTAAATAGATCTAGTTGGTGTTTTTTAAAGAAATATCTAGAAAGTTGAAGCACAGAAGTTGCAGAAGCTTCTCTGGGGTGTCCCAATGACAAATATAGGCTTGTATCTCCTGTCTCCTTCCAGTTCTCAAACCTTCAGAGCCAGGTCCCATGGTGAGTAGGTAATAGACTTCTTAATTTTGCTTATGTTTTCATCAGATGGTACACATTTACCTTGTCTTTTTATCCCTGTGTGTGAACAAATCATGAAGGTATTTAAGCTGTGGTATTTCCTCAGGTAGCTCTTTCGTCTTGACAACTAGGACTGATCTTGCTGTGGTAACAGTGAGATATATCTGGCAGAGTTGACTTCTGCTACCAAAGGTGCACTTTAGCTTCATGACAGGAACAACCAGCTTTAAAGTTTAATTTCAAAATGTACACACATTAAAAAGTACTCTCTGGGGATTTTGCCAACTGATAACAGAATAAACCACTCCGAGTTTGTGAGTCATAGAAATGAGTATTATCTTGGCTTTGTTATTCATAACATCAAGAGAGAAATACAATTTTTAACTGTCTACATGTATGGAAGTTCAGGTATAATTTGGTAAATGGACCAGGTGTGGAACTTCCATTTTCATAATGACATATCAATAATAACATTGTATGATCAAATAAAGCCCCAGCCTCATGTTCAAACTACATTCCAAACCAACAAGATAAACCTCAAATATGATGGATTTTTAATAATTGTTTTCCAGGAGCCCATGCGAAAGAAATAGTTCTAATGAATGCTTTGACTGTTAATTTACATCTGCTACTGGTAAGGTTTCTTTTCCATCTGTGTTTTGGGTTCTCTTATTTGCATAATCTGATATATTTCTATCTTAAATTCATAAGTCTCCGATGGACTGTTCATTAATGTGTGAGATTATTTATATTTTCACCAAGAAACTCTAGACCATGACCACATCATTCCTTCATAATTGTGCAAGAGTTTCTTCTTACAAAGAGCTTTAGAGTAATGAGTTCTTATCAAGAGCAGAAGGAAAAATAGTAATAGCACTTGAAAGAAAAAACTGTTCCATAAGAACACTCACTGGCAAGCTCTGAGCCTCTCAGAAAGGATGCTTCCCTATGCTGAAAAAAAAAAAGTCAGTGGTTTCTAACATCAATCTAAAATGCACCTTTGGTTGCAGAAGTCAACTATACCTAATGTATTTCACCATTATCACAGTATGATTGATCATAGTTATTAGTACAAAAGAGCTGTATAACAAAACACCACAGGTTAAGTACCTTTGTGGTTTATTCATACACAGAGAGAAAAAGACAAAATAAATGTTACACTCTGATGGGAACATGCAAGAATCTGTTTTTGAATGATATCTAAAAGTTCATACATCCTTAGTTTTGACTCCCAACTAATTGCTTAGTGTCTCTTTAATGTTAGTCAAACTTCTCAGTATCTCTGAGAAATAGTATTTCTCTTTGTAATAATAAGGACAACAGTATCTTCCTCATAGATGTGCAGGACTCAGTGATTCAATATGTAAAAATTAATTTAGCACCTGGCCATTAATGAGCATCCTGTTGAAAGGTGTTGCCTATATTAAAATCTGGGCCAAGCTTATTGTTCAGGGATTTCATGAAGAAATGGAAGGGCCTGTGAAGAAGCAGTATATTTCTGGCTGGTGCCTCTAAGATGGACAGGGCCTTCATGTGAGGGCAGAGGCACATTTAGCTGGACCTAAACCAAAACTCCATAAAGCAAACAACCAGACAACCAGTGATAAAGGAAACCAAATTGGCAGAGTAAGATATGTAAATAAGACACGCACAGAACAAGCTATTTCAGCCTCACTCTAGAGAAATTACCTTTAATGTTTAAGGAGATAAATTTTCAATTAACATTTAGGTAAAGCCTTAGAATATGTTTTTATCTGGTTCACATTTTCCTCTGAGTTTGTTTTCCATTGATAAATGTAATGAGCCAATATCTTTTCCCTCTTCATAATTCACTGGAAACTAGGCTAATTGGAAAGGTACCCCTGTCAGATATCTTAGATGTTTAATTAATTAATGTCTTTAAAATGTTGGAGCTTATAAAATGAAAGTGTGGCATAAAGGAGTGAATGAGTAAATTGTGTGTTAATGCTTCTCAATAACTCTATTTCATTGTAGTTATCATTCTTTAAGCCTACACCAAAGCGGCACAAGATTCTTCTAGAGGCCAAAGCCTTCCCTTCTGATCATGTAAGGATTTCTTCAAATTATATTTATGTTCTTTCTACTCTTCCTAGCGGGACGTATCATTTTCCTGACTTGAATGTTTATTCGTTAGTAGTTCCAAAGTAAGCTGACTAAAAAAGATCTGTCAAGTGCTTTTGATTTAAGTTTTTTTTTTTCCTAGATACGAGATTTATTTCTTTTGTTCAAGTAAAACATGTGTTCAGGGAGGAAAGGACTGAATGGGGACATTGATTTATTAGTCTTTTTAAAGATGTTGAGCAAATCGTTCCCTAAATCAAGTGTGGTTATAAATGTTTTATTAATTCCTGTTGCTGTTTTCTAAAATCAAATCAATAAAAACTCCACTGCTTAACCCTTTAGCAATGTTAAATTGTCATATGAATGTGTATTTGCATCTCTTTTGTCATAGTATGCTAGCAATACTTATTGATTCCTTTCTATGAAAAAATATTAAAGATTACAAAATGCTAATGCAGGGAGATGGCTAAGTCTGTAAAGCGGTTGCTGTAAGGCATAAGGATCTAAATCGGCTATCTACCACTCACAAAAAAAGCTGAGTATAGCTGTGTGGACCTGTAGTCCCAGAACAGGAGACAAGAGAGAGAGGAGGATGTCTGAGGATTGCTAGACAGCCTGTCTCTCTTGTCAGAAAGTTTCAGTTTCAATGAGAGACCCTGTCTCAAAAACACAAGATATAGAAAGATCATTGAAGTCACCTTACATTGACCAATGGCTTTTATATGTGCATGTGAACACACACAGAAAAATGTACGTATAACTACAGCCTTACACAGAGAGAAGATTCAAGGATTTCTTGTAACTCATTCAGATACTCATGATTCTTCCAGATCCATACACAGATAAAACCTTTTCATTTAGTTTCAAAGAAACTTCACTCCTAAATTATTTTATTACTCTACACTACATCTTGTAATTTTAAATCGTGTAATTCTATTAAGCCAACAAATGATATTTTACTAAAAAAAATCAAAACAAGATTAAGACCTTGCTACCTTGAAGACAATTCCAGCTCCTCTTAGTTATTTGGCCACATGCATATCTGATTTTCTCTATGGAGTTTCAAATGTGATCTGTCTGGTGCCTGACTCTTCCTGGGGTGAGTTGTTAGTTTATCCTAACTCAAGCCAGGTGCTGCAAACTCCTCTCTTTGGGTACATTGCAAGCCCCAGTTGTGATTTGCATTGGGTGAGTTTTACTGTAACAACCTCCTTATCTCTAAAAGCTACTCTGCTCTTTTGATCACCTTTAGTATGTGGTACTTCAAAAAGTGCCCCAATTCCTGCTCCATTACGTTAAGAAGATCCTCTCTGGTGTAGTCATTCACTTTACCTTTGACATGTGGTTTAATATAATGGTTTGGTTTCATTGGTATTTTATTATTTATTTTCAGAGGAGTTATATTAAGGGACTGCTGTACTTTGGACTTAATTTAATGAGTAAAACTTCTTTCTTTTTCAGTATGCTATTGAGTCACAGATTCAACTTCATGGACTTGATGTTGGAAAAAGTATGCGGATGATAAAGCCAAGAGAGGTATCTGAGAAAGAAAGAAATGTTCATTATACTTCTACTTAATGCACATTGATTTCCCTCAGAAATGTATTATCTTCATGGATTTGATGCAGCTTCTAAGAAAGCATAAGAGACCAATGCATTTTTTACTATTAGATCATTTTGTTTAAAATAAAAAATAAATGGAAGTATATTTATCTTCATTTTCAAGAGCTAGATATATGACAAGGAATTTTTCCTTTTATGCCAATGGAGTCCATAGTGGTCAAGTGGGTGAGAACGGGATGACAAATTGGATATACCACTTTAAATTTCAAATATAGTTGCTGGTGGATCCCACTAAAATCAAAGACTAGAGATCATTGGGAAATTGTTTGGAGACTGTATTTCATGTTCTTTTTCAATGTATCAAACTTTTTCTTGTACGTGAGACACAGTAAGTTTTCTAGAGCCAATAAGTTGAAGAGTCTGGGATAACAGTGTATGTAGGAACCAGTATGAAGGATTAATGGTATAAAAGAGTCTCAAATCTGTAAGAAGTATCTGTTTTCACAGTTGTTACATAAATGGGTAGTTTCTAGCATAAACGAATATAGCCACCAGAAACCAAAATTCAGGGCTAGATATGACCAGCATGCTTTATCCTCTGGGTCCACTTTAACCAGCTGTTTAGTAAATAGTTTCAAATCAACATGAATGAGAGCTTTATCTCACTGAAACTTTTATTTCTAATTTGATTCATGGTAATCCTTTAGCCAAATAAATTACATGTTAGTTTCTGCAGTACTCTCTTTAGTCTGTTTTTTGTTATTGTCAAACTGTATTAGAATTTTAAGAGTTTTAAGTTGCCAGTTCCCTAAGTATAATTTTTATGATTAATAAGTTCTTTCTTTATATTTATAAAAAGTATATATCTAATAAAACAGAAATTTCAATATCAGTGGTTTCCTTATTTGGTAAAAAATCCCTAGGAGTCTTCTAATAGAAACTACACACACACACACACACACACACACACACACACACACACACACACACCCCTACTCATTCATACAAGTCTTCTAACATGAGACTTTGGCCAATAGCAAGAAATTGAAAACTTATATACAAGGATAGTATAGGATTATTTTAATGAGCTTTCTACATGATATTAAGGCAATTAAGCATGCACTGGACCCAAATTTACATCATGTTTGCTACAAGAGAAGATTTGTAGAAAAGTTAGATAGACATCAAACCCGCTCACCCCTAAGCAGATGCTTATCTGATTTCTTACAGCTCAAGTTACTTTTTCAAGATTGAATCTCACTTCACTGACAATTTCCAATCATTAGTTGTGGTGAGGAGGTTAGAGAAACTTTGTCCTTGATACTTTATTTTGATCTGTTTTCTTCATGTTTGTCTTTATCTTTACATTAGTTTGGAAAAGATTAAATTTTATAATAATTGAAATGTCCATTTGGCAAAACTCAGTTGAAAGGTGTGTAAGGGAGTTTTCACTGGAAAAAGTACCACTAACTTGATAAGTGTAATAAGTGAATCTCCAGCTTTGCTAAAAGATATTTAAAGGACTTCATGATATTTTTTTAAGATAAAGATAATGGGAATACTATTTACAGGTTTGTAAATTGTAAAGATTAGTTGAAAACTGAAGTACAACGGAGCATATAGGATTGTGCAGATCGGCACTTAAATGAAACCTCTTTAGCATTTTATTTTTTGTCTTTGTAACCAACTCTATCCCCATGCTGCTCTTTTGCTGGGTTTCTGAAGAGCATTGGCGTGGGGAAACATAGTCACCTTTCATTTGCATTCTGAAGGAAAGACATTGGTGGATATGGAGTGACATGTTTGCTACTGTCATTCTGTCAACTTGCACTGAACTTGACTTAGGGGGAAGAGACATTAAGGACAGAGGACATACTGGAAGTAATCGAGGAGGAAGGAGACTCGATTGCGGTGATCCTGTTCAGTGGAGTGCAGTTTTACACTGGTCAGCTCTTCAACATGCCTGCCATTACAAAAGCTGGACAAGCAAAGGTAGATAACTCTTTTCTCCTTGTTACTTCCCCAGGCAGCACTCTGCTCAAGAGTGGTCCACCGGCGTTATTTTATGTATGCTTTAAATTGTTTTGGAATTTTTTCTTTAGAAAGGAGGCTTAAATATTTTAAGATATTATCATCACTATTGCTATGGTTGTTGTATTTCAAGCCATGTTTACATGACATCAATGATCCAACCTCATTCATCATAATGTCATCCTCATGTGGGCCCCTAGAGTCCAGGATGAGCACATTTTGCACACATGATGTGACTCTTCAGACAGCAAAAGAGGGATGAAATAGGGTTTCCAGGACATGCAAGGACTGTTAAAAAGCCCACTTCAGTACATTGTCATACTGTAACTCGTTCTAAATCTTAAAGCTAGGTACTTCCAGATAAGGAAATATGGACTCTATTAGTAGCTCATATAGAGTTATCTGTAGGATGAGTTTTACTCAAGCGACTTTAAGGATGCCATTTTATTTCTAACAATCTTCTAGCTTTTTAATATTGTCTATAGCAAAAGTGTTTATTCCCCCGTACACTATTAATTCAAAATTAAATTATTTTTAATTATATATCATGTTTCTCTATATATAAGTAAGTGACTTAAGATTTTTTTTTATTAATTTTGGGTTATAAGCAAGAAATCAACTGGGGAAAAAATGCAATAGTAATAAGTTATATTTAAAATCCTAAGTAGCTGTTCTGTTTGATTATGCAATCAAGACTTGTATTAAAAAAGGTGACAATTGAATTTTATTCTGAACATTAATAAGTTATAGGATTACTATATATGTGAGATCCAGCTAATACATGCAGTTATTGAAGCTAATGAAGGGAACTAATGAAAAGAAATTTAACACCGTTTTCAGTGGTCTCTAGGAATTTCCAACCAGGACTTCCAGCTGATTTGATGGATAGCTGTGAAAGTGGTGCGTTACAGGAGATAGAAAGATAATGTCTTCTTAATTTAGATGTTAAATCTTGAGCACCAAAATAAAGGGAGGCCAATAAAACTTGTGTTTTAAAATGTTCTGCAAGTAATCAGCAGCCATGTACTCTTAGTATGCAAGCATGTCTCATTAACCTTCACAGAAATGAGACAAGGGACAGAGAAGAAAGACCATGAGCTTGGCGATCATACAGGCAGGCTTTCGGACACTGGCTGGATCTTTGCCATGTTAGATGATCCCTAGCAAGTTACTTGACCTCTCTGAGCTTCTGTCTCAAGTTTATAAAAACAGAATCTACCTTATGCACTCAGAATTAAGAACGTAGTATCTGAAGATTTTTGTGACTGCCTCACGTTCTGCTCTTAAGCAGGGTCCCTCCCCACTCTGCTCTCTTCAGTGGATATGAAACAATGGGCAATGTCTCAGATATTGACTTTATTTCCCATTAAAAATAAAAATAAGGGAGTTAGAGAGATGGCTAATTAAGAACATTTGGTGTTATCACAGAGGACCAAGGTTTTGTTCCCAACATCCACATGGCAGTTTAAAGCATTTCTAACTCCTATTCCAGGCATCCAATGTCTTCTTTAGCCTCTGAGGCACCAGGCATATACATATACATATACATATACATATACATATACATATACATATACATATACATATACATACATGCAGGCAGAATACTCACATATTCAAAATATAAATAAAATTTTAAAATCTTAAAAATGTTTATTCGGCTTTATATTGAATTCTTGTTAAGGGATTTAGTTGCTGGAACTAGTCTCTAAGTATGCCGCTGGCTGTCATTCATTTAACATGTCTGTAGAGTCAAATTCTCATGACACCGTCAGTCAAACAAATGAAGGGAAAAATGAGCAGTTCCCATCTAAATCCAATGATGTCGTGGGAACGAACTAGGGATATGGCTGACTTAGATTTACCCATTATCAAATTTCTTTTAACAAATGTTTACCCTCTTGCTGTCCAATTGCTTTCATTCTCAACTGGAGTTGAAAAATTAGGCTAATTTAAAATTAGACTTATGTAACTCTCCTGTGTGGTCTGTGAATATAAAGCTGATGAAAGAGACAGGGAGAAAATTAAAGGTGTCAATCACAGAAGAAACTGACAATTGTAAGGGGGAAGGGGACTTAAAATTATCACTGCTAAGACTTAAAGAGTGAGGTAAAAGAGAGGGAAGTTTCTAGAAATTGAGCATGATAGCAGCCAAAATGACAGTGAATAGAGCAATGAAAATCAATGAGTCGCTTATGAAGTAAAATCTTCAAAATCTTGAAGGGAAAATTTCAAAGTTTGTAGTAGGGAAGTGGGTCCACACATTTTGAAAGGTGGTTTAAAAATGCATATATACCAATAACAGCACAAATCATAAGTAGCTGGAGTTACTTTGTATCTTGAAATTAATTTAAAAATTGGCGTATGGTTCTCCAGGACTTGTTAGGCAACCATAGTGCTGAGGTGTTATAGATGTACCTTCTTTGTCATTTCCAGGAGACACTTTCTCACAGCAGATTTCCTGGTCCTCTAGCTCCTAACAGCCATTTGCCCTTTCGGACAGTGTTCTCTGAGCCTTGGGTGTAAGAGCTGTGCTGGTTCTGTTGGGGATGGGCACCCCATGACCACTCGTTCTCTGCTGTTTGATAGATGTGCTAACAAGGAAGGAAAAATCTTAAGGGGTCGAACTATAGACAATGAATGACAGACAACTAAAACATGCTGAGAGCAGGAGAAATATTCAAGGATAAACCCTCTAGTTGATTATACCAAGTGGTCAGCTCTGAAATCATATACATAAAAACAACACTAAACAAATCAAGCATATCATGTTTATATTGTGTATGTGTGTGTACTTGTGTGTATGCTCAAACACGCACATACATTCTGCTCATAAGAGAAGAATCCTTGTGCCTTAATTGTCTCCCAATGAATGCCCCCATTCCTTTTTTTTTTTTTTTTTTTTGGTTTTTTGAAACAGGGTTTCTCTGTGTAGCTTTGCGCCTTTCCTGGAACTCACTCTGTAGGCCAAGTGGGCCATGAACTCACAGAGAACTGCCTGCATCTGCCTCCTGAGTGCTGGGATTAAAGGTGTGAGCCACCACCACCCGACCCAATGTCCCCATTCTTAATGCTGGTATTATTTAACAACTTGGTATTATTCAACAAGTTGGTATTATTTAATAACTTGTGAATTGGGAGGATACACCAATATTTAGAGGATAGACCTTCCCATCCCAAATTCTACCAACTTTACAAATATAACCTCTTTGTCCAGTTTGACTCTTTATAGAAGTTCAAAATATGTGCAAATATAGACCTTTTGTACCTGGTTTGTTCCTAGATTGTAGTACTAATTCATCCATGCTGTGCTGAGCTGCAGTCTTGCCTCCTTGTGTTTCCATCTGAGTATAATATTCACAGATAGGAAATACAGCACAATTTCTCAATTTGCATCAGAGCAGATGTTTGTTTGTTTGTTTTTCCATTTGAAGGCTGCTTCTATACATGCTACTTCAGCTGTTATTACAAATAACTTAGGGTAAGCCTCCATCAAATTTCTGGTAAGGCTGTATCTTAGAAGTAGGATCCCTGGATTATAAATTGTGTGCCAATTCAGTCATAATCAACAATACCCACCACTTTCCTACAGAATTATGTAAATTTGGTGTACACTCTGAGCAGTGTGTATGAGAACAACTGTTGCCCTGTTGCAATCTTGGTATCAGTTACTCAATGCCCTGGTTGAGTCAGAAACTTTCAAATGTGTGCTATATGATTGAATATCTTCTTTTGCGAAATGCCTTATTAAGTTTTTTTAACCCATTTTCTACTGTTGTCTGGTGTTTTCTGGTTAAGTTGTAAGTGGTGTAAAGTTAATTTCTGAAGGACAGAAGAATATTTAATTTTCAATAGGTATCAAAGATGAAATCAAATTCATAGAAGAAGAGCTTATACCACAACTTTGACTTATATGGTGATTGTAAGACGTGGAAGTGCTTTTCATAACAAGAGGAAGGTCAGAGATTTGTGTGGCAAGGTTGAGGAAAATGAAACAGAGTAGATAAGAAATCATAGGGAAGGCCATGAGTTGTCAGAAGACATGAATTTGAAGAGAGATATTCATCAGTTCATGGAACTACATGGTTGTTTCATATTACTGAACAACCCATCTTTCTAGAGCTCTGATTTCCATATTTCTGATTTTCATGGTCTGTTACTTGTTTCTACTAACATTTCTTTTCTATACCAGCAACATGCAGATGTATCCCCTTAACCTCCACCACCATCTCTAGTGATTTTGAAACTGCCCCTCAACTCAGCCATTGCTGCCAATTGAAAAGCCCCAGATTGCAGGACAATGAAAAATCAATAGTCAATGCTAATCTTCCCACAACACTTGGACATCCAGCATGTGTTTCAAAATCATGTGCTTCACCATTATGCCAGACTTAGGGCTCAGCTGTAGTTTCCTTTCTGAATCATTTTTTCTTTCTTTTTTTCCTTCCTTCCTTTCTTTCTTTCTTTCTTTCTTTCTTTCTTTCTTTCTTTCTTTCTTTCTTTCTTTCTTTCTTCCTTCCTTCCTTCCTTCCTTCCTTCCTTTCTCCCTTCCTTCCTTTCTTTCTTTCTTCCTTTTTCTTTCTTTCTTTTTCTTTCTTTCTTTCTTTCTTTCTTTCATCCTTCCTTCCTTCCTTCCTTCCTTCCTTCCTTCCTTCCTTCCTTCCTTCCTTCCTTCCTTCCTTCCTGATACTTGAGATGAACCTTAGGGACTTGCACTTCTCCTTCCTGAAGGATAAAATTAGAGTCATGTGCCACCATGCTGAGCCTTCTGATCTTACCAATTTTTTTCAAGAGAAACTTCAAAATAATTTATTTTCTATTTAATTATTTTAAAGTGAGAAGAAATTACCTGTATCCATCCAGTATTTTCTTAGAGTCCAGTTAAATGGTTTGCTGTGTGCCACGTTTACTTTTGGAAGATATTTGAAATTTGATGAACCAATAGTGACATGCACAGTACT